TTAATTGTTTAGTAAATTTTGATAAAAATAATGAAATTTATAGTTAAAATTTTATGAAACCCATGAAATATATATTTAAATTAATTGTCAATTTTGACTTAAATTTAAATCTAGACTTTAATTCCAATACAGGGGCTAAATATTTTCTAACACTACTGATATTAAAAAAAATTGTTTAGGCAACACTGTGATAAGATCGATAAAAGGCACAATTTGTACTCTTCATTTAATGTCACAATAGCACCACCTAAAATCGTACACTGCTAAATAGCATTACTCATTAAATAAATAACCTCATATGAAACAAGATATTCCACCAACAAAATTGGGTAAATTTCTTCAGCCATCACTCAACTTTCAGCAACATTTTAATTGGGTCATTGTCAGTCAGAGAACAATAGTCAGATGCAGACTAGCGCGGGTCGGCGCCACAACTATCTTCCTCCATGTGATACACACAACAGCGGTTACTGCACTTTAATTTAATTTTGATTGCAATTTGCATCACTATACTTATATTTTATATTAATTTTATAAATCGACAGTCATATTGCAACAAACCATTCACATAGTTATGATGCAGCAGCCAACTTACCATTATGTAACGCCCTAAAATTGTCAAAGTAAAAAGTACGTATTTTAAGTTTTTAAATTTAAGAATATTTTTATAAACCTCATATGTCAATTTGGAAGATGATAGGTGATCTCGACAAAGTGGTGAAATTTGAAAATGAATTGTAGTGATGAATTAAAGTTTAGTAGATTTGGCTGAAAGTACCCAACAACATTTGAGCACGGCAATTCACACACCAATCACGAGAAAAAGATTTAAAATTAAACTTTAAAAAGTCAATTTTGCTCTTCCCATGAAATTTCAATTTTTTTTTTTCAAAAAAAAGTGAAAAATTAACAATTTATTTGTCTTATAATCAAAATCAGGTAAAAAAAAAAAATTCATTTGTCTCGCAACCATTTCTGTGGAATGAAAAAAAAAATGAATTAACGTAAATTCAAATTTATTAAGAACAAAAATTAGTTCGTAGTCGTTGACGTCATTTTCGATATGTCAACCCCTCTTTTATTGCGGACGCTAAAGTTTCACAAATTAGGGCGTGTTCGGTAGAGATTAAAATCGGATTAAAATTGAAAAACTAGTCGTTATTGTTGACTTTTATTAGACGAGTGGAACCCAACAACGATCCTATTTTCAATTTTAATTAGATTTTAAGTCCTACCAAACATGTTTTAAATAATATTGTGAGAGTCAATATTATTTGTGAATTAGTAAATTATTTTATTGTTTTGACTTGTACCCGTGAAATGGGTAGTTGTGACAGGCTAAAATGTAAATAAGTCAATGTCTAATTCCATTGAAAAAAATTAACGAGGAGCCTTTGTTGACTTCAATAGTCTAAACATATTGGATTTTCCTTTTTCCATATTTCAGCCTTTTCATACTGTGAGTCATGGTTGCCAGCTACGTATTTCTCACTATGAAAATAGAAAGTCGTGCACAATTCTACACCACCAAATTATTCTAACTCGTAAAAAGATTATCTCAATAAATTCTTTTCATCTACTTGACTGTTAAAAAGAAATTATTTGTCAAATTATGTCGTTGTTCCTAAAGGGTATAAATAACTAAATTTGATATTTCTAAAAACTTTTTCGTTCTTTTCCAAGGTGATTAGGTAGGCTTAGAGTTTTCATCGAGTTTTCCCCATCTCAACGGGAAGGGGGAATCACCCATCTAATACAATTTATACCGATTTTCATCAACATTAAGTAGTAGATAGAAGAATCCATTGATAAGAAGTTCATGACCTTTTCACATTGTGACCTATTTCCCATTGCCATATGTTATAAACAACGAAAAAGATACTGGGTTGCCCTAATACCAATTTGTTGTAATAATAGACAATAAGAGAAAATATGGCACAATATGATGTAATTGATCATAAACTCAAGAACACTATAATTTGCAAGAGTAAATGAGATTTCACTAAAATATGGAGAAATAATACAAAAATTTTGTATTTATAATATATCTAACATTGCCCTTGTTTGGCTCCCATTAAAATTCTAATACATTTTTCTCTCTTTTTTTTAATCACACATTATCCAATAAAATAATATTACATGTAAACTAAAAAAATGTCTTCTTTTTTAACTATATATTCTCCTAAAATTACTATTTCAAAATACGCTATTTCCAAAATCTCATTATAATGAGTGCAAAACAAGGACTTAATCTAAAACATAATGAAGAGCCATATATATATAGTGGACATCCAAAATCTTAGTCTCGATGTTGTAGAAGGAATAAAATGCTGAAAATGCGTTTAAAAAAGCGAAAACGGGCATATGCTGGATGAATATGGTGATTGAGTGCCAGGCACGCGTCATCCCAACGCTCAAGCATCTAGGCCTGGCGTCAGCTTCACTGTTTTGGGAGTTCGAGCTCCAGTCGAACCGTGGCGAGCATAATTGCATTGAAAAGTCCTATTGGATCAATATCTTGATATCTTCAAATCCAAAACAAATTTCAACTCCAAATAGGGTTTCCAAATAGAAATTCAACTAGAATTTAAGTCAATTTCGAATAGAATTTCAAATTATCTTCCAAATAGAATTCAGGACATACCCAAATTCTAACAAACTTTGGCTTGACACGAATTTCATTGCAATGAACAAAATTTCAAAAATTCTCCACTTGGAGATAAATCTCCCTTCAAGGAATAAACTTCAACTTTTCAACAGAAAACACAAATAAAACTCTCCATCAAAATTTCCAACTAGAAATATCCTCCAAACTCCGTCACTCAACTAGGGCAAAACACAATAATTGAGTATTAACAAAATTCTAAGCACTAGGCTTGGACATCACCAAACTTGACAGAAACAAGCTTGAAATAGAATCACTATAGCCGAATGCATTAGAAGAAGGATTTTGGCTAGAATCAACACTTTTAACCACATTCAGAACTAAATTAGCAGCATTGTACCTATGTGAAGGCTTAAAATAAAAAATTGGTCTATTAGTTGTAACTAAATATAATGACATTGCCATAATGGTGGCAAAGCAGAATTATTTATAACTTCTAAACTCAATTGAGATGTATTTTTCAAAAAATACTCCAAACTTGATTCCAACAGTACAAAATCCACTCCAAATTCACCTGAATTCTAAAAATATGTTGATTGATCAAAATTCTGCATAACACTATAAGATATATAACTAGGATTTTCTATGCCACTTCAACAAAACATGGCTCATTTACTAACTTGCAAGACCCCACCTACAACAGTGTACTTGCACCATTTTGTAGAGTACTTAACAAGATAAGATTTCTTTTCAAATCTAAGCCCTTGTTTGATACACATTAAAATTTTCATTCTCATTCTTCTACTCATTTTCAACCACACATTTTTCAATAAAATAATATTTTCCATCACATTCAATAACTTTTCCTTTTTTTTCAACCACACATTCTCCATCAATCTACTATTCCAAAATACATTCTTCCAAAATAATATCCATCAAACACACCCTAAAACAAATTTCACTGCATCAAGTGTTATAATTATCCCATCAAACATATTTATTCTAACCCGGTCAATATCAACTATCCTACAATGTGTATTATTTTCATGAAAAGAGCCAACTGTATCAAGAATCCAATCCTCGTCATGTTTAAGAGTCGTAGTAAAAATAAGTAAAAGTTCTTCATCACTGTGATAATTTTTTGTAACGCTGGCTTTCCCTGAAATTTTTGATTGCTGATTTGCAGGCAATTTTTCGTTATTCTACAATTTGTAACAATCCTTTATTGAGTGCCCATTTTTCTTGCAATAATTACAAAATTTGAAGTTAGAGTTTAATTTGTCCCTTGCACAACGAGGTCACATTCAAAAATCTCAGATCCAACAAGACGTTTCATCTTCTTCTTTTAATATCGAGCATTATATACTTCTTCAATAATGAGAGTATCATGACTATATAAGATCGTATCTCTAAAAGACATAACAAAATCAAACCCATATCTTTTTCATCATATTTAGCCTCCAAGTTTTCTGAATGAGCGACGATTTCTTTAAAAACAATTAGGTGATCTTCAAGGAATGTATTTCTGTCATACGATGAGAATATAGGAACTGCTTCAAATACAATTTGCTAGTTAGACTCTTCATCATGCATGATTGCTCAAATTTCAACCATAATGCAACTATTAACTTCTCTTTCAAAACGTCCTATAGAATATTATTCGAAAGATAAAGATTAATTTCTGATAGAGCCTTTCGATCCCTACGTTGTTTTTCATCTTGATTCTAAGTTGTCTCAACAACTCATTGTCTAAATCTATCTCAGCAAGTACTGCTTCATCTTTATCTGCCATAACAAAATCTTGTGCTGCGATCCAAACGCGAAATGTCATATTTCGTAGTTGCTATCCCAAAAATCAAAATATCCTTATGGATAATACCTTAACTCTGATACCAATTGTTATAAACAACGAAAAAGATACCGGATTGCTCTGATACTAATTTGTTGTAATAATAGGCGAGAAAAGAAAATATGACACAAAATGAAACAATTGGTCACAAACTCAAAAACAAGATAATTTGCAGAGTAAATGAAATTTCACTAAAATATGAAAAAAGAATACAATAAATATGTTTATAATTTGTCTAACTAAACCTAAAACATAATGAAGTGCCAAATATGTATAAGGGACGTCCAAAACCTAGTCTTGGTGTTGTAGTAGGAATAAAATGCTGAAAGTAAGTGTAAAATGCGAAAAAATAATGCCATAGTTGAGTCGAGATATTTTAATCACGTCGATTTGAACATAAACATGATATTGAGATTACTATGAATTTCTTAAAATGAAACAACGCATCTGTTAATTACAATGTACTATAAATGCGTTATGCATGAAAGAAATGAGTAAAAGTAGTAAATATTTGTGTGGTTTTAATGATGAATAGGTACTTGAGGATCATATCATTTTCTCAAATTTCTCAAGTTTTTTCACCCTCTGCATTGACCTAAGAAATAGAGTAAGAAAAACACCTGCATTGCATCAGAAAATAAAATCAATACCCACCAGCAACCAGAATTAAAAACAGTCGAATCAATGTATGAAATTCTTGTCACTCACCTGCACCAACAAAAGATCCATTCGCAATAATTTGACTACCTTGAATGGTAAATGTAACGCCAAGGTTCAAGAGGGTACCACCTAAGACTGTATACATGGTTGCCATCTGTAGTATGGTTGCTTTTCGAGCTGCTCTCTCCGACTGACATATCCAATTTTTACAATGTTCAATAGAACAAAAATATCTGAGGACTAGCTAAAACTATTCATAGAACAATTACCTCAAGAACTCGAACTCGAAGTTTTAAATCTCCTGATTCAAGTTCTTTTACGAAGTCTTCTATCCGCTGAATTCTGTAAGGCATGGACATTGTGTACACTCTTGCCTGAATTATAAAGTAATCAAACTCAATGTTCCATTCATAGTTCACACTAAATTTTTCTTGATCAGAAAATCAAAAGAAGGAAAAAATACAGTACATCATCAGCTTGTTTCCTCATTTCTTGAACAAGTTGTGTTCCAGTCCGCTGCTTCTGTCTTAAATCTAAGAGCTCCTATAGGTAAATTAACCATTTCTGATAAGAATAGTTTCCAGAATAACGAATATGAGTAAAATCTTGATTTCAAGATGTAGAACCTCTGCATATGGTGCGGCAATCTTAGCAAAGGAAAAATCTGGATCCAGAATGTAACCAATGCCTACGAGAAAGAAAACCTGGGAAATCATGTGATATCTCGGAAAATCATAGACAAAGTCACCAATATAATGAAAGAAAAAGAAGTAAATTAACTTCAATAAGCTCTTCATTGTTGTTCTAGAGTAGTGATAACAATTCGAGAAGTATCTGACTGATATGAATTGCAAGATATTGAAGCATTTAGATAAAGTAGATAGTGTATGGGATTCGGAATTTGAATTTGTATTAGATTATGTATCTTTTATGAAGGAGATTAAATTAAAGGAATTTGGAGAAAAGGCATTTGAGGATCAAATTTAGCAGATGAGTTGCAAACGTGAGGGAAACACAATACTTTTGGTAGAGAAATTACCTTCAAGGGTCGAAAATGCCCTGAGCACAAACGTAAAAGTGGATGGAAATCTGAATGGCTGATCTGTAGCTATTGCAAACAAATCCTGCAAAGAAGTTTTACAATCCCTTCGTAATTTTTAGGCATAGAGCAAGAGAATATGGAATGCTCTTGGCTTCAAAACAACTAGAACAATGCTAATAATTAGATCGACGTGGATTGAATAATGAAATAGAGCCACTTTCACGTTCCAACATTTTACAATATTGGAAATCACATTTTTATTTCGTTGAGTTCCTAAAATCTTCTACTGTGCCCATGAAAGTTATTTTAAAAATATACCAGTTACTGAAACCAAATTAGGATTGGACATCTCTAGTAAATAGGTTTTGACTGAGTGACTGGATTTCTGCGTACCTCACCAATTGCAGAAAGAGTTTGCTGCTGATCAGGTCTTTGATTTAACAAATTATCTAAGAAAAACTGCACAGATCTCCTCACCTAGGAATTGAAAAATGTTTTAGAGAACAACAGCAATAAGATTGTAAAGAAATCATCAAACATGGATAACATTTCAATTGCCTTAAAGTAAAATTGATGGTTAAGAAGCATACTGATGACATCTCTCCTGTGGGCTGAAGTGCTCCAAGATCTATAAGACCTTGCATAACCTGCATAGACAAGCTTAGACAATTGAAACTACTGAATTTTAAAATAAATAAGCTCGATCATAGTGATCAAAAGGACACAAGTAAAAATCAATAACTATATATGCACCTGTGCTACGGAATAGGTTTTATGTTGAACATAAAACATCATATGGTAGCTAAATAGTTGATAAAAACAATGTCGCTCAATCACGAAAATGAAATGAGAAATCTGAGTGAGTAATTCAGCCAAAATGATCCCAGAATCACTGCCATAATAAAAAAGAGGTAGCACTCCAAAATCTTACACGTTCTTATAAATTTGTGGGCTAAGCTGATTTATTTAGTCCAGTAGTCAGTAGAGTTCAACCGGAAAACATTGTTTCCCAAATCTTAAAACCTAGTTTAGTACTGCAGAAATACAGAAGTATCAGACCGTTCAAAGATAAAATGATGAACCTTTTTTGCATCCTTTTCATAAACAGCATAGAAAAGTTCTAATAGCTTCTCTCTGGTAAAGCTCTTGATGTCTCCCATCATACCGAAGTCATAGTAGATGAGTGCTTCATCCACGTCAATAGCGAGGTTTCCGGGATGAGGATCAGCATGAAAGAAACCAGTCTTTAGTATCTGAAATCGAAGCCGGTGTACAAAAAATTATTTAGCCAGTAAAGGATTAGATTTCATCAACCTGAATAACTTAACTGCAGGGAACTCACCTGAATTAAGTAAGCTTCAATAGCACGTGATGCTATTCTGGATCGACTAAAACCTCGTGCATCAATCATGTCTACTTTATTTATCTTAACCCCTAATTAGATGGTCAAAAATATGATCGTATATAAGCATCACATAAAAGCATTACCATATGATCAATGCTTTAGCCCATAAAGGCAGGCACATTATTTAGTTCGAATTAGGAAATTATTCTGTAAAAATAAGGAAATTAGAGTATATTAGATTAGAACCTGGAACATACTCCAACGTCAACACCTTTGTTGCTGTATAATCCCAGTAGACCAACTACAATATGGAAAAAAAGCACATCATAATTAGAATAAGCATAGATGCAAAATATGCAAAAAGCAGAAAACATATATTATTTTTATAGAAAGTCCAAGTTCGTAAGTATATTGAGATGGTAAACAGAAAAGAATAATGGAATTTGGACACCAAACATAACATTGCGATCCGAAGCCAAGCAACCTAGATCAATCGATCATCGAAATTCCATTTATTGAGTTGATGGAAACAACAGTAAAACAAGGACGTGTTTGTTTAGTTTCATGCACGAGTATCCAGAAAATAATAGAAACTTTTGAAAAATCAGTTGTTCCTGGCACTAATCTATGACTAATTTGAAGATAGATATATAAGAAACAGACCATTGAAAAACATAATGAATATAGCTATTCTGCTTTCTTTCAACTCGGGGGTTTTTCAAGCAGTTTCTTTAGAAGCATTTACTAATTAGTCTAATTTTGATACTAACACTAATCTTTTAATTCTTGGAAAAATCAATTGCATAGAATGCAATTTCTTTCTTTTTCATCTTTCATCTCCACAACTACATAGGAGAGAGAATTTGATAAAAATGTTGAAAGAGAACCAATTTAAAGATAATAATAGTAATAAGGAAGAAGAACCAGCAGTCCTTCCATAGGAAACATACAGGTACTCGGACCCACTTTATATTTCGGAAATCCCGACGGAATCTATCTGCATTCTTTCCTTCATTTACATAATCAATTTCTTCATACAAAATCCTGGAATCCCCATGAGCATAAAAATTTATTAGACAGCCGATCAACATTGATATATTTAGTTAACATCAGAGGGGAAGCTCAAACGGAAATTTACTTTGCAGTAAAAGGAAGCTTATAGATAAATAATACAATATTGCACATCACGTGAACAAAGTCAGCAATGTGAACCAGCAGTCAGCAAAATGTGAGCATCGCACACAGTTATCATACTGCATACTGGCATGGCATGTATTTCAAGAGAGTGGGGGAATATTTAAACCTAAAATATAAAACATTAATAATCTTTTGCATAGAACTTAATGTTCTCAAAGTTAACCACTAGATATGCAGTTTAGACTATTTGAACCTATATAGTTAGAAATCATATGCATCAAATTTTCGGACATTTACTCACACGGGGGAGGGGGAAAGAGAGAGAGAGAGAGAGAGAGAGAGCAGAAGATCAACATATGTTTTGGATGGATTAATCCGTTGTTTTGAGGTCAACAGCTTTCAACTCCAGATACAACATATTTTGGCAGTATGTTGGATCTCCTATTCAATAGATTTCAGATGCATAGTGAATGCTTGGACACTGATTGCAAACTTCAATTAGTTCAGATTATCCATATAACTAAGATATGTATATATATAAAGCGATGACATGCATGCCATTTTATGCCAAATATATCTGTATTTAACTTCCCCAACTGTAGCTTGAGGGGCTTGATTTCTCATATTGAGAAACATGTATTAACATGGCCATGCAGACATGATTGATCAATAGAAATGCCCCATCCTACTCGTAATATTTCATACGTCGCACCGCGTAGGTACAGTTCATGGAAGTTTATTCTTAGAATTACTGTTACAATGATCATCATCATCATTAGAAAAAAGAAACATGGTGTGACGCCTGGTACTACTTACTTGGCACATTCTTCATATATTCCTATCCAATCCCTTGTTGGACCACCTAGCGTTTCACTTTTTTGGAAGTATTCAGCAACCAGCTTTAAATTTCCTGAAGAAACAGGCATATTGATTTACATACAAAAGGAAGGTAATGGTAGCAGAAATGTCACAGACTGAAAATTACTTACGCAGATCAATGTCAAAAAGCTTCTTTAAACCAGGTCTTTGTACTTTCACGACTACTTTCTCTCCATTATGTAAGATAGCCCTATGCACCTGAGAAAATTTGCTTTGAAGGAAAATCAGCGTCTTGTAATAAATTACGACAGACTCATGAAGCATACGACTCTTTTCGACTATTACCACAATTAAGTCATCAGTATGCATGTTGTTCGAGGAAAGGGTTCCAATAGGGCACTCAATTATGGAATAAGCTAGAATGTTCTAATGGTAGCACCTAATTTTAACCAAAAAATCAGCATAATAATTATCAGAGGAATAAGGACAAAGAATGGGATAGAATCTGTAAAAAATTGACTCTGCATTTATGTCTCAGAGTCTTGAATCTGTAAAAATGTCAATTTGAATGTTGTACCAGTAAAAAGAAAATATGAAATTATCCCCCTCTCATATTGTTGTATGATTTCAACTTAATTGCAAACAGAATCATAGTAGAAAACAAAAGAGCTACACGCCTCTGTTTTTTGTTTCTGGAGGCAATAAATATGTTTGCTTTATATGCTTGCACGGTCTTAAGTGCAAGACAATAAATCCTATAATTCATGTGTTCTGCTTTCAGGCAGAGAAGGAAAAGAAATGCAAATATGAAGCAAACACCTGACCAAGACTAGCGGCTGCAATAGGTAAGTCTTCAAACTCCTTGAACAACTGATTAATTGGAGCGCCCAATTCTGTTTCAATGAACTTCTTTGCTTTACTTGGTGAAAACGCAGGTACTCTATCCTGAATCATATGTCATCTTGATCAAAACAAAATCAAACTCAAGGCTCCACAACTTTACCATGAAAGATAAGATCTAGAAGAGGATACCTGCAACTTGGCAAGCTCATCCACAAATTCTCGTGGAAATAGATCAGACCTTGTTGAAGATAACTGCCCAAGTTTAATAAAAGTGGGACCAAGTTGAAGCACACATTCTCGTAACCACGAGGCAGTTCGCTGTCTTCTGCTTCTCTGAAAATTAATACAGTTTTACTGTTACTATAAATTCCAAGTTTGCCCAAGTTTGCTAACCTTGAATAAGAAGCTGTCATAAGGCACATGTTTGGTTCACTGTATTGGATAAGATTGACCAGTAGAACAGATAAGATTTTAGCTTCTTTTTCTTACCTCATGTTGTCCAATAGTGTACGATCCATCTTATCAAAAAAAAATAAATAAATAAATAAATAAATTAACAAACATGTTTGATGCCAAAAGTGTTACCAGTGTACCTGTTTATCTTCTGTAAAGCCTCCTAAATAGCTCAATTTTGCATTGTCGAACAGAACACGCACACGCAGTGAAAGAACAAAGGTCCACACATCTACACTTCTTTGGAAGGAGTTATAATTTTCATTAGCCCAACTGAAACCTTCATCCGAAGGCAAAACTTTAAGCCCTTCAATGGGTGGAAGCTCTTTAGAGGTCGTAGATTTCATCAGAGATGGAGCAGTATCTCTCTTAATGAGGCCGACTCCATTAACTTTGCGTACTCCATTGACATTCCTTGTAGTGCCGTTTATCTTTTCTGAAATTTTTGCAACGGGAGGAGATTTCCCTTTCCTCACTCCAGTTGTGCGTTCCATTTTAGTCGGTCGGCCATTAACACCTACCTTTGCTGGAGATTCCATCTGTTGCATTTCCACCTTAAACTTGTGGACTTTTTTAGCTTTAAACAGATGACATGAATACTTCTCAAAAGAATCATGATTCAAAAGTGAGCTGGAGAAACTCATCTTGTCTCCTGGTCTATCGTGATTTATCAATTCTCCATAGCGGCAATAGCAGGAGTTAGAAGCCAGTATTGCCGCCATTTGAGGTCCAAAACCTGGAGCAGAAACGCTTAATGGAGCAACAATTTGAAGAAATCCACAATAATTTTAGTCATGATAAATAAACATAGACCAGATAGTGTGCTTTAAATATATATAACAAACAATGATCTAGATTTAAACAAAAGAACTTATTAACATCCCTCGTTATAAGCAATCATTTTCATTTCTTTATATAACAAATACTGCCAAAATCTTGTCCAAATATGTGAATGTAGCGCATAAACAGCCAAGAATTACTTCAACTAATTCCAGTCTCTCTCTCTAAATTCTCTACTTCTCCGGATGCGTGTGCTTGTTGACTATACTACAAATTATCAAGGACTGAATTAACCATAAAATCTTCATATTAATGCATAAATTCGATGCGGGCCGAACAAAATTTAGCTTAAAAACCCTACAGAACAAGAATCCACATAATTTCTTAGGTTCACACAAACGAAAAAGCATTAAGTAAACGCAAGAATAAAATGATAACTAACATAAACAAAGCCTATTACACAAATACAAGGTTGAATCAGAGGTTCAGTATATAAGTTAAGAAAAGCATACCGCTTGAGATTACACAAAAAAAGGAAGACGGTTCAGAATTTGAGCTCCTGAATTAATGATCAGACAATATAATAATTTCTTGACTTGTGTCCGACGATTGAAATGGAAGGAAAAAGTAGCGTGCACTCTTGCTACTTGTTAGGAATGTTGAAACATTTGTCCTCAATTCAAAATTTTTTTTTTTTTTCTTCTATTGTGTGTGGGTAGTTTTTTTCAGGGCCTCAGTTAACGACAAAAGGGCAAGATTTACGCATTCATCAGCCGAGCACTACTTTGCAATTGCGCTTCTTCCTCATTGGTCTGTATTGCTCTCACGTGTCTTTCATTCATCCTTACAATAGTTATACATATACATAATACCTAACCCGTTGGTTGTTATCTCGTGACCATATTTAAGTACAAACGTTGTTGATCTTTCAATTTGGTTAGTGTGGAAATTGAAAGAAAAATCTACAAATTGATTTGATTTGATTTGATAAAATTTTAGAATTATGCTATGGTTTGATTGACAACCCCTAGCGGGGGGCCAACGGGGTTGTCAACCTCCCCAGTACAATTATCATTTCCGAAAGTTTTATGTTGATTCCATCTTTCATATGAATTTGAAACAAAGTTTCATTTCGATTCCAACTTTTATATGAATTTAAGATGATACAAAAAGTTTGTAATCAGACTTTATAATCCCTGCGAAAATGTTATATACTCCATATTCAATTTAGTTAAAAATTAATTTTTAAAAGATTCTGATCAAAGATGATAACATGTACAGTTGAAAATGATTTTAAGAAACAATAAATTTTAAAAAATAGTGACCAAATTGAAAAATAATAGATTTGAGAATACGAATCGAACTTATTTTGGAATGAAAAAAATTTGAAAGTTATGGAAGTAATTTGCCGTTCTATTATTTATGAAACAATATTACTTCGAAAAATTTCATATGATTATTCATATCTTATCTTGTATCAATTATCGGAACTTAAGACAATCATTTCATTGTCTTTATCCCTCCTCCTCTTAAAAGAGTGAATGTGAGATTCACTGTTCATTTTTGTCACAACCGTTTTCACATTGATCTGGTTCTAAAACGGTTTCGTACTGTTCAAAAAAATTGGTGACTTTACCTATTAAAAAAAAATTAACAAAAAAACAAGCCTCAATTGTTGACTTTGAGCTTTGGTACTGTCGTTTATGTCCACTTAATTATTATATAATATAATAATATATATAAAAAAAATTACAAACCGACTTGCTACTGATATACATGCAAATCTATTAAAACCAATTGCAATAAGACAGTATCTCGATTTCATTTTAAACACAGGCTCATGCTTCGCAATCAACGCTATAGTATGCATTTCCATCAAAGTTTCCTTACTCTATCTTCCAGGTATATATGTGTATCTGCACCTATTTATGTCTCAGGTGAGAGTTTTAGATTTTTTAGTATGATTTTTTAGTTTTATTTATTGTATTTATTGCTATATTGCAGAGGAACCAGAGAATCTCCTTCTACTTCTACTGCTGAACAAAGCACAAGGAGTATTTTTTCGCGTACTATATTACCTCTCATGATTGATGATATTACTTGAGTTATTCATATTAACAATTTAACAAACTAGGTTACCGTTATACTCCGATGGTGGCAATGGCAAATGATGAAAAGAAAGTTGGGAATTTTTGATATGCTGGTTTTCATATGTTTAATTTGGTTTTCGATGTAATTTTTATTTATTTTGATTTTTAATGGCATATGATTTTATTTAAAAAAAGATCATCAATTTAATCTTGTTAGGAAATTTGCCAATTAGTGTTTTCTTCATGTTTTATGTTAGTTTTTTTGTTTGAATGGCAAAGTGATTCAAATTCATTTTTAGTAGAAGAAGAAGGAAAAAAAAAAAAAAAAAAAATCTCGCCTACAGTGTGGAGACAACAGTTTGTGTTGGAAAAAAAAAAACTTCGATTGCTCCGCAGTGTGCGGAGCACCGTGTGGGGAGCAATGTTCTGCACGCACTGCGGAGCATCAGACCTTTTTTTACTGTGTAAACAATAATAAATTTGCAAATCGCCTGAAGCACAACTGACTTCACACTTCTCCGCCGTTAATTTCCTGTCGAATGCTCGCTTTTTCCTCTGCGATCGTTTGCCGAGCTAAGGGGAGATTCGTCTGAAGCACTTTCTTTTGCCTTAAAGTTCTAGTAACGGGTTTCATCCTCCTTGACTTTGTTCTTATGATCAATATAAGGTAAATTTTCATTTTTCCCTCATAAAAATTTTTAAATCTCAAAATTTGTGAAGGGGCATCTTCAATAACAAATTACTTGTTTGGCAAAGCGGCATTTTTCCTTGTTGATTGATTCACCAATGAGTTTATGGTAATGGTTGTATCATTTATCTTGATTAAATGGTTTTGTGGGAATATTAAAGAAGTAATAGTGGTTGTTTTTCGTATTATGCTTTGAAATTCAAGAAAAAACAATTTAGTTGGAATTTGTCTACCATCTGCAATGTCGTACTTGACCTTTTGGTTATTTAATTTGATTGAATCTTCTTGAATGATGGGTTTAATCTATAAGCAAGCTTCATTTGGTTAGGAATTTATTTGTAAAAATTGGCATGCAACTTTTGAAGTGAATATTGATTTCTTTGTGAATATGATGTATATTATATGTTATCAATTCAATACAATGAGTTTAATCTTAACCACGTAGCCTGACAAACTAGATTGGGAAATTAAATGTCAAATAGATTGATGGAAATAGCTCACAATCAAAAGTAAATGGGAGTAGTTTTCAAATTCTTTTGCATATTCTAGTCCAAATTTTTAAATCATTACATTTTATTATATATGTTTCCGACTCGAGTGTAGGTCCTTTTAGGAGTAGACCACTGTGTCTAAAGAACATCCAAGCAAACAATTGATATTTTGAACAAAATAGGTAAGGGTTTGGAGAATCAACTGGAATCTCTAAAGGCTATGATACAAGATTTAAGGGCCAAGACTTCATTTTTTGTTGTTGCAGCTTCCGAGGTAGTGGTAAGCTTGTTGATTTTTGAGAGCAATTATTCATTACATATATATAATTAAAGATGGTGGAGTTTGTGAGTTCTGTTAATTTGAATTATTCATCTATGATTATTTCAAGGTAGCACTTTTCTACTTTAAAACTACTACTTGGCAAATGCTACAATTTTGAGGACATCTAAGTTTTCGTTAGTGTTATAATGAGTTATAAGCAGTAGTTGTTCAAATAGATTAAAGTTCATAAAATTAAGTTTTACGTGGAATTTCCATTGAATTTTTGCTTCTTGGTTCATGTGTTTATAATCTAAAATTTCAAATTTTTCATTGTGTTCCAGGTTGCTGAATGATTTTGAGGCCAACAAGGTTGTTATCCAATACTCACCTATTATTATTTAGCATTTAAGTGTTGCATTATTGACAAAGTCTTCAATGTGATTAATGAAAATGAAATCTAATGCTAACGTAAAAAAATGTGCAAATTATAAGAAAGCTAGAATGACAGCAAAATAAGATTTTTTTGTAGATGCACTTTGCAACCCGACCCCACATCACCCCTACCTCCACCCCATAGAAGTCCCCACCCCTCAGTAAAAATATATCTCACTCTTTCTTTTGCAACAGTAGCAATCTCAGCTTCATAGGCATTTGAAATTTTGAATCCCGATGTTAATGCCCAAAGCCAATCCTTCACTTGCCCTTACAGATGACCCGTAGTATGGGTGTTATATGAGTAATGCGTAGAATAGCATGAAATAGTTGAATTAATCTAAATGCTTTTATGAGGGGTTTTATAAACTTTTGTTTGCATTACTTGACTTAGCAGTACTTGACTTAGCAGTCTTGAGCATGTTTTATGAGAAGTCTCGGTATAATTCTATAATTGATGCCATAAAAGGTTCCTTTTTTCGATAGGATTGGATTTTTTCTGAACACATCATTTCACATGCATTCATCAACTATTTTTTCCTTATAGTTATCATTTTATTAGATGTTAATACGTCGAAGCTATTTGATCTTCAAAAGATGAAAAATGAGAACGTGTGAAATTAAAATATCTATTGTATACAAAGGATTATTGGTAAAGGAAAAAAATGTCGATCAATAAATTTTACTCTTTGCATTATATGCAGGGGAGTTTGTAGCCAATATTCCGCGAGATATTAACATGCAGATATGGAGCAAATCATTTTGTTTCAACAATGGTATTCAATTTAATGCAACTGCATTATTCTTGCACCACTGGATATGTTGTTTGATCTTCATCTTTCCGTGCTTTGGTAAAATCTTGATCTCCACCTTTATGATTTCCATCAACACATTTATCTCTCTTTTTCTAAACTAGCAAAAGTGATTTGGGTTGTCCCTAGGAGAACTAGTTTCTAAAGTCTTCAAATAACAACTTGGAACCACAGAGAAAATCTTAGTAGTATTATGTGCTACTGAATTAAATCAACAAGTTGTAGTCTTTGTTTTCATTAATTTGTTTCTTGCCATTTATTTTTTCAGGTGGAAGGATTAGCGAATACTTTAGTTCTATTATGATCTAACATTTATAAGTATCTGATTTGCGTTGAACTATGAAGCGCACCTAGAAATTAAAATGGCTTTTCAATGTATTATGTAGTGCTGAATTAAATCAGACAAATTTTATCTTTCTATTTGATAATTTATTTCTTTAGACAAATGTGTGTATGAAAATTTTGTAATACAATCTCTCATCTAATCTTAACATTCAAGACGCTAATATTACTTTAAAAATAATACAACTCGTGCATTGCACGGGGCAAAAACTAGTATTAATAATATAAAAGAGGGAATGCTCATTTAACTGTTCATTTTTCTACCTGTCATTTCACATAATAACCGGTTCGACAACTGTTCATTATTAGCTTATTTATATATTCATGTAATGGAAACGACGCTGTATTCATAAACGAGTAAAATATCTGCTTCTAGAATCCATCCAGCTGCTTATACTCTCATTTGCTTCTGTGTTCAAATGTATATTCTCGTTTTACAGTGTGTTCTCGTCCTATTTTTCGTTGTTCTGTTCTTTGTTTAGCTCGATCTAGCTGAGAAACTTCAGTTCTTGCTAGATTCTTACTTCTTTGTAGATTTGTTTGTTACTTCTTTGTAGTTTCACTTAAGGTTTTTTTCCCTTTTCCTTGTCTGAGATGTAAAAATGTTGTTGGGTTACGCTATTCAATCTACTTCAAAAGCTACAGATCGTGCTCGATGTGTTTTTTCCCCATTTATGCCTTCTCCAACTATATTCCAGTTCTAGCTATCGTTTGTACAGTAGTTT